GTGTGTGTGTGTGTGTGTGTGTGTGTGTGTGTGTGTGTTTAGCAGAACATGCTGCTCAAACAAACACAGTCAGGATGATTCTGCAGTCTGACCATTGAAAACACACTGACGCCTCTTTAATCATTATGAACAATCAACGTGGTTAAACTGTAACAGACCAATGAGCTAAATGAGAAATTCGCTTTGCAAACAATTCTTAGGATGTTTTGGACCAGAGCAAAACCCCAACAAATGACCCAGAACCCCTCTGAGGAGGAATAATACTAATAATAATAATAACATACTAATAACATAATAATGAATTTTATTTATAGACGCCTTTCAAAACTCCTACGATCACCTTACAAAGATCAATACTAAAACATCTAAATATATCAATAAAGACAGCAGCTATCTATTATCTTTTACTTGCTTCTTAGTTTCAGGGTCACAGGGGTCACTGGTGCCCAGATCCAGCAGTCACAGTGCGAGGGGCGGGGTACACCCTGGACAGGTCGCAAGTCCATCACAGGGACACACAGAGACAAATCAGTGATTAGCCTATGCAAGTTAGCAAGTTTTACTTCCTGTTTACTACCGCAAAGCTTGTTGCCTCGTCTGGCGTAATCACGCGTTGCGTAGCCTCGTTTATTCGCATCAAACAGTCGAGAGGGAAACTAGATGGAAAAAGTCTAGATTCAAATTTTTATTTAATTTTTTGCGAATTTTGAAAAGTTCGATAAAAATTCACACTACAGCTGGATGGAAACACGATTACAGATACAAATCAGTCAAACTCACTCACTCTCACTCTCACTCTCACTCACTCATTCACTCCTCACTCACTCACACCTAGGGAAAGTTTAGCATTACCAACTAACCTTACATTCCCGTTTTCGGTCTTGGGGGGGAAACTGGAGTACCCAGAGAAAACCCACGCATGCACAGTGCTGCGTTGTTCTTATGCTATTTAATCAGAAGGAAGCTTTTAAAGGGCCTGTGACATCAATTTTTTGTATTAAATATGAATGCATTTTTGGAAAGATAACATTGACAACATATTGTAAAAAAGATTTCATGCAGCTGAGACAAACAATTGTTGTGATATTCACATGTGAAGAAACAGGAAATGATGTCAAAGGGGAATTTCTGCATGTGAACAGAGCGTTGCTACAACAGCCAACAACACAAACTGTAGAGAAGAATCTGATGTTTCTTTAAATTATTTTAATTACTATAATAGAGAGATGAGGAAGAGTCAGAGTTCAAATAATATTGTTTTAATAAACAAAAACCAGAGTTTTTTTTTCCTTGAAGAGTTCCCCTTTGATGTCACTTCCTGTTTCACTTTGTCTGAGCAAAGTTCAAAAGAAAATGTGCCAATAATGGGGCATAATTGGTAAAATCTTGTCTATTATACTAAGTTTCTTAAATATAAAGATGTTTTTGACTTTTTGTGTTTTGTGGTTATATCGTGATATATCGTGATACTGTAAGCAAGGCGATGAATTATGCAAAAGAACAGGTATTATCTTTTGCCTTTTAAATGTTTTTATTTAGTTACATTGAATCAGAAATTCAAACTTTAGAAATGATTAAAAATCAATTTTTATATTAAAATAAAAAGAAAAGTAAAGAAAAACAATTTTAGTGGGCCAGACAGAAGTCACTGGCGGGCTGTGTGTGGCCCGCGGGCCATCAGTTTGAGGTGCCAGTAATGATCATTTCAATCATAGGGTTGTTTTTTTGTGTTCCATAACTGATATTTCTGGTGGACTGCAGATGCCGGTGCAGCCGGTGACTCCAGCAGGACCAGACCACAGCAAAAGCCTGGAGAAGCCGGAGCTCTACCCCTCCCTCTTTCCAGGACCAGAACCTGTGAAGGGCATGCCCTCCACCCCCACTCCATCCACTCCGATTTACGCCAACAACTTTGCTGCTGGTCGACCCAGTGAGACGTACAGGTAGGAAGTCTCTTGTCTTTTTTTTTTTTTT